ACACTGCCTTGACCACACTGTCGGCCGAACAAGAGCGCCAGCTTGCCGAGCAAGATGGTCACATCGCTGGCCTGCAAGACGAGAACGAAGAGAAGGACAACTCCTTGGCACAACTACGTGAAGATCTCGAGAAGTACCGCGTCGACCTTGACACCGTTACCGTCACCGCAGCGGAGTTCGAGACGACCCACCACGAGACGATCGCTCGCATGGAACAGGAATACACCGAGCGCATCCAAGCTCTGGAGACTGATCTCGGCATCGAGCAGGAGGGCCGCGATGCCGCAGAGGCTGACGTCGCACAAAAGAATACCTACATCGAGGAGTTGGAGGATAGCATCACACGCATGGAGACCGATGTTGATAACATCACCACCGACATGGCTACACTGAGGGAGCGTCTAGCTGCCCAGACTGCCGCCCGCGAGTCTGCCGAAGGCGAGCGTGATGAGCAAATCGAGCAGGTGTACCAGCACGCCAACACCATCGAGAACCTGAACGAGACCATCACTGAGCTCAGGGAGCAGCTTGCCGATACCCGCGAGAACCTGGCTTCCGAGCGGGCTCAGCGCGAGAAGACTGAAGCTGATCTCGACGAGGCGAATGACAAGATCGAAGATCTCAACACCCGTCTTCACGACACTGGTCTCCAGGCTAACGAGCTGCGACTCAAGCTGTTCCAACTCCAGCAGGAGAAGGAGAACGCCATTGCTGACCTTTCAGAAGAGGCCGATGAGCGCGAGCAGGATCTCAACGAGCAGCTTGCTGCTGAGTCCCAACTCCGTCAGACAAAGGAGAACACCATCACCCAGCTGGAACAGCAGATCATTGGTCTCGAGAGCGATCTTGCGACACTGGAGAACAATCTGGCCGACATGACCGACGCCCGCGACCAACTCGAGCAGGATCGTGACGTTCAAGTTGCCGACCTTGCTACTCAGCTCAATGACCTGAAGAACAAGTACGTCGCGCTAGAGAACTCCACCAACTCTACCATCACGTCGCTCCAGGCCAACATCACGGACCTCAACAACCAGATCCAGCGACAGCAAGCCGAGATCAACGATCTTTTCGACCAGGTCACGGAGAAGGAGCGTATCTACCTGGAGGACACGACCGCTCTCAAGGGCAAGATCGACAGCCTTGAGGACGAACTTGCTCTCCAGAAGGGCGAGAACGAGGGTTACCGCAAGGAGAACCTTTCCCTTTCAAGACGTGTTGAGGCCGAGGCTAATGAGTTGCTGAACATTGTCGGCGCTCACGCCACTGAAGTCGACTCCCTCAACACTGTCATCAAGACACAAGAAGCCACCATCAGGAGCCTCCAAGACGCGTCTGCGAAGCGCAGCACAGAGTACGAGGAGATGATTGAGGAGCGCACAACCGAGCTCACAGAGATGCGTCTTCTTGGTGATGCTCGTCTCGAGACCATTGTACTTCTTGAGGCTCAGATCGAAGAGATGAAGGAGCGCTTCCGCCTCGCCGAGGAGGACACACGTGCCACCATCGACGCCCTTACAATCTCTCAACGTCAACTTCAGGAGCAGAACGAGCGTCTTGCTGACGACCTGAAGCGCCGCAACCAGGACGCTCTACAGGCCATCCAGGAGATGAAGCTCAAGCGCATTGAAGTCAAGACTCAAGGCGTTGATCTTCACCGTGTCGCCACTGGCAAGGTGTCCAAGGTCAGCGAAAAGGTCAAGATCGGAAAGAAGGGCAAGAAGAAGACGACCAAGCGCCAGTGGGATTCCGGCTTCGGCGTTGATGAGAATGTTGAGGATGACGAGCTCAACGGAGAGGAGCCGCTTGCTGCATAGATTGCTGCGACTTGCCATCTGGATTCGCATGACGACGTTTGAAGATTCGGGGTTTGTCTTGTTGCTGTCACTGCAGGACGGTCATTTCTTTCTTGTCTTATTCTCCTTCACACTTTTTTTGGACACATCACTTTGGGCAACATATTGTTTCATTTGTCATGAAAGTACCCGGCACTGGCATTGCTACCTCACGACTCGACGGCTTGGCTTCATCGCTTTGTTTGTTAGGACAGAACGGCGGTAACGATATCGCGGTTGTATTGCATAGCGCACGGTGTCACTGTTACGGTAATGGGAAAAGAAGTAGTGTAACGACCTCTTTGTATCTAGTACCAGATTTCTCTATTTGTTCATCAATACCATCATTCTCCAAAACCCTCCCTTGCTTCGCATCCTTGCTTCCGTGGTTTGTTCTAGACCTTGGCGTGGACCCGAGTGAACGCGAACTGTCAGCATGGATCTTCCCGATCTGTCCTCGTATCCATGAAACAGATCTGCAACAGCGTTACGTTGCCCTCAAATCGGTCCGCGCCCAACCCATACTCGGTGTTTGCTAAAGTCCCGAGCCAGGCACCTCATTTAATCAATTGTTCTCCTTGGCTACCTCTTTCCTTCTTGCATCGTCATCATCATCGTCATCATCATCATCCGACAGCATCGTACGGCAAGCAAACCTACAATCCAGCGAACATGGGTAGCAAGAGCTTCGCTCCTTCCGGTCCTCCTCCTCGAGACGACGAAACCGTACTTTTCCTCTTCATCGCATTCGCTATTCTCATCGTCCTTTTACTCGTGCTGGTGTTGATCTCGTGTCAGACGTGGATGTTGTGGAAGATGGCGAAGGCGGTTGTCGAGCAAGATACTCAGATCGCGCGGCGAGGTGGGGGACATGCTGGGTCTGCGTATGGAAGCAGCGGCGGGAAGAGAAGCAGTGTTAGGGGCAGTGTGAGAAGTATTTACGCGGAAGATGAGGAGAGGAAGTTGATGAGTGGAGGGAGTGGTGGGAGTGTGGCGGAAGGGAAGAGGAGGACGGGCGTTTGGGGGCAGGGAGGGTGGATTTAAGATATGAGGCTCAAGAATGTCTTGAGGACTGGTTGTGTTATTTGCTACGCTACGAGGATGCGGTGAAAGAAAGGGCAAGAACATGAGGAGATAGGAGAAGGAAATGCCGTACAACAACACCTGCACACCTCATACATTCGGCTTCAGCAACACACCCTTGAGAACGCGATACTCCTCCCTCAACGCCGCTACTTCCTGTCTCAGCGTCCTTTGGTCTTCAGCTAAACACGTCATTTCCTCCGCCACCGTCCTTGCTTTGGCAGTCACAACACCTGACCCGACATTTTTTGCCTTCTCTGTAGGCGGCCCATCAACAGCATGTGAGCGGTCGAGGAACATACGAGGCGTAGGCCGCGAGTACAGACTAGTCGGCGAGCTGGTAGATATCGGCGTACCCAGCGCGTGGATACTAAGTTGATGTTGCGGCGTCCTGGGCGCATTTGACGACGCTGACTGATCGGTATCTTCAATGACAGCGTTGGCATGGCTTGCACCTCCAGCCATGCCGGAGATGGAGCGGGAGTACACACTGCTCGGGGAATCTGCCCGCGTGTCGAGCGAACTCGGCGTGAGCTGCCGATGTATTGCAGTCGTCGGATTGCGAGGGCTATGGTTTTGCACAAAATTAATCTCGGCCTTTGGTCGGCATGGAAGAGAGTAAATGATATCGAACGAAGACGAAGAAGAGCCAGCCGCGATGGAGGCGACTACGCGGCTCGGTGGAGTATGCGGCGTTGTCTTCATTTCGCTCGAGCCTGCAATATCGGTGAACCTTCGTTCGGAAGTTGCGTCTATGATTTTATTTGGCGTTGAAGTTGAAGATGAGCATATACTGCTGGACAGTACTGGATCTGGATCGACGTTGACAAGCGCGGGTTTCAAGACTTGAGTCTTAGGTCCAGCTGGGAGAGCAGGTCGCTGGTCAGTACTATGCTCTTTTGCCTTTCCTACTGGGAGTCTCTCGAACATATGCGCGGTGGCACGCGAGTACAGACTGCTCGGGCTATCGAGAGGCGATGATAATTCTGGGTCGAGGATGGTGACATGGCGTCCAGCGGCCTTCGGTACGATCACTGAGCTTCTCGATCCTTCCATCATTGCTTCTTGATGTGTACCAGATCGTTCTTTCATTTTCCGGGAGATTGGACGAGAGTAGTTTCTACTAGGCGTATCCAACGTAGTAGGAGAGGTTTTGATAAAGGGCATCGGGCGTATGGACGTGACGGTTGGCGTGATCAGAGATGAGTCTGGGCTCAGATCACGTCGTGGAGCTTTCCCTTTGCATCTTCGCGTAGAGGGAGGTGTGAACCACTCCTGGTCTTCATCTGAAAGCTCGGACTTCTGAGACGAGCTGGCGGATCTTTGGGAGGCGGAGCAGGCTTGTGCTCGCATAGGTGTTGACAAACTTGGCGCCGGATGTACCTGTGGCCATCTTCGGCTTTCGTGAATCGAAGGATCCGCTCTGAAAAAGGAATGTGCTACTTTGGTATCAGGTACGCCACTAGCAGAAGGACGTGGAGGCAATTCAAAGGTCTCAATGGAGACTCGCGGTCGCACCAAAGCCTTCTTTACGGGTCTTTCGCGCGCTCGCTCGACGCGTAGGGGTGAGCCTCGCAACACATCTGAAGTTCTCCGACTAGGAACTCTGGATTTGGGCTCTCTTGGATCATCCGAGAACAGATCTATTGGAGGTCGTATGGGGATTGCCCTGCTTGTCACAGCTTGCTTGTGAGACGATGAGACCTTCTTGACAGTACCTGTTCCCTCATCCGAGGATGTCGGTTGCTCTGCTTCGATAATATCGACAACCGGACGAGGCTCGGGGGATAGTGACGATCCGCGAATCGGGAGGAGAGAAGGTGCCGTCATATCGCCGACCCATTCGACGGCTGTAACGGAAACTCCCAGTGCGATTTCATGTATCAGTAGGCCCAGGATGTTGAATATGAGAACTTTCCCCGCCTGTGTACCGATCGCGATCAGAGTCTCAACGCCCTCATATACCTCTCTAACATCTTCTGCTGCATCACCGCTCAATAACACCGCCCCATCTGCCCGACCTTTCGAGCGTACTGGGCCTTGCGCTGAAACAGACAAACAAGTAGCCGGGCCTGAGACATGCTATGTCCGCAGTATCTTCCCACCTCCCTCAAAGTCGACAAGTCGGCATTTCCCATCATGCCTAATGCTAACAACCCGCGACTTGTAGCCTGGTAGAAATTCCGCTGCTAGCATACCGCCCATGGCCGGCTTATGAAGCTTTTTGATGACACCGACTCGAACGGGCTGTAACTGGAAGAATTGCGGTTGATGTGCACGCGAGTCTTCGGAACGTTTTCGCAGTGAAGGTAGGAAGAGGCGGTACATTGCTAGTAGCCCGTCTTGGAATCCAATAACGAAGTTGGTATACGACAGCTGCGCAGGACCATCTGGCTGTTGGAACGCGGCACACGTAACAGCCGAACGAGCGTCTGTCGGGCGAAAGTTCACCGCTGCGCTGCGTCCCCATCGTTGGTCTTGGAGGTAAATAGTTGGTGGGCTCGGAGAGGCTGAAAGGAGGACGGTGCCATTACTGGATATTGCGATCGCGTTTGGCGGAGACGGATGTGATGGCAGGGAAGGTAGAAGCTCGTCGTTGGGTATGGAGTATGCTTGAACCGAGTTGCTCAGTGTTGTGGTGAAGTAGAGGATGCGCGAGTCGGGTGAAAACAGAAGAAGACGTGGCTCGCCCTATGCTAGTGTCAGTTCATGAACCTGTTCTCATCCATGAGTATGCCATACATCGCCGTTCTTCAGTTTGTATTTCCTGTCTCTGCTTCGAGTGGCGTCATGTAGTATCACGACCTGGCTGTCTGCTATAGCGAAGAGGCTACTGTTGTCTTTCGAGGCACGAGCGTTGACTATGCCGTTAGCGGTCTCGCACTCGAACAGCTTCTTCCGGGCGAGCTGCGATCTCAAATAAATCGCGTTGGGTGTCGCGACGAACAAGCTCTGATCGAAAGGTAGTCTCCCGGGATTCGCCATTGCTGGAAGTGGAGTAGTGATGGGTGTAGGGTGTTGTTGCGACGATGAATAGTGATCGGCTCCAACATCGAATGATATGATGAGCGAACATGCTGCCGGGGCAGGTGCTGCACGCTAGCACGTGGGTTTACGGAGTAAGAGCGACAGAATGTCGTGATGCCCTCGCATCTGTCGTGTTATCGACACCGAGCGGTGATGATGATTCCTGGACGCGTAAAAGATTTATATACATCTATCTATCATTGCAATCTACCTCTACTTCAACTTAGCATACTGCTTGCCCCATTTCTCTGCGATCTCCTCCTCAGTAAATTTCCGAGTCTTGCGCTTCAACATCTCAACCTTCTCGTCAAGCGTGAGCTTCATCTGATCGCCCATGGGTACAAGACATTTGGCGATATGCTCATAGTTCTTTCTCAGCAGATTGACTGTAAGGAAGAAGTAGTCGATGTTGTAAAAGACAATTGCTTGTTCGTCGGAGTACTGCTTCTTCTGCGAAAGGAAGGCAACTGGGTGCTCGCGCCAATGGCGGAGCGGGTTAAGGTGATGAGAGGTGTGGTAGCCATCGTTGTAACAGTACCGGTTGCTCTATCATGACGTAAGCGGAATGTTCGAAAGTAGCCAAATCGGATGAATGTCAACTTACAGGTACATCGATGAGGGTGATGCTCGACCTGAAGTCAGAGTCCGGCTCGACCTCGTCAACGAAAGCATGCTGTCCCCAGTTGCCAGTCATCAAAGCCAAGCGCATAAAAGCGAGAGGGATCAAGAACACGAACATTGTCGCACGGGCATTAACAAAGCTGTACATCAAGTATAGGAAGATGTAGTTACCGATCTCGCATCCCGCAGCTTGAAGCGCGAGATTAGGCTTGCGTGTACGCAAGAAGTACATCGGCAGATCGAGCCAGATCAGAAAGTAGAACCGACCGACGTATTGCGCAAAGTCCCAAACGCTGTCCCTCTGGTAGCGAATTGTAGAAGAAAGGTCGTTGGGTCCGTTGCCTTCAACGTGGTGATGCTTGACGTGGTGATAGTAGTACGAGTTCCATGTGTGGCCCATCATCGGGTCGAGAATGTATGGGAACAGCCGATCGACAAAATCATACTTCTTGCTGAGAACACCACGCATATGGATATGCTGATGTTTCAGAAGAGTGTATGCTCCCATATAGTAGCCTTGCATGACGCAATGGAGGACGGCGTGCCACCAATGGAAATTGATGTACAAGTATGCGGCTGACGGAATGCTGGTGCAGAAGTAGAGCAGCAGATGCGTAATCATGATAACGTCGGTCTCGACTCGGACAACCTTCTTCGCCCATTGGATGTAGGGGTCAATGATCCATTGGCGAAGAAGAGGGTTCTTGATGTCGGGTTCATCCACAGAGCTGAAAACACTGGTCTCGAAGCTGTCGGATTTGGGGTCATTAAGCTTCTTGAGGTAAGTAATCGCCTGTTGCTCTTGGTCTTGTAGATCTAACAAGAGTTAGTCGTTGGTCGCATCAGAAGTGCATATCGATATTGCATGCTTCCGAGGCATTCATAATCGACCGAAATGAGTACTGACCCTCTGGTGACGGCGTCACAATCTCAGAATGCTTGACACCCGAGTCATCAGAGTCTTCCGCTGCGTCTGTCGATGATTCTGCAGGCTTGGCCTCATGCAGCTCGTACTCCTTCTGCAGTATATTCAGAACAACCCTATCCGGCCCCGTGAGCTCTTTGTCGAGCGGAAAAGCCAGTTTGCCCATTTCGTTGATGATTTGGCACGCTTGGTGCTGGTCTTGTCGCGATGTGTCGATAACGATAGCAACGGCTAGCGCCCGCTAGAACGAACAGGAAACAAGCACTGTGCAGTGCTGAAAAGGAAAGACTGAATCGACGAATTCAAAGACTGTGGTAAGTGTCAATGGCACAAACGCATGGTGGTGTAGCAAAGAGCTATGAGGCTGCTATTTGATGAAGCCAAGCAGCTGGAAGCGGTGTCAAAACCACTTAGCGCGCCCCTGGCGACCCACAGTGGCAAACACCAACATTGGAACGCGCGCGCATCATTCCACATCGCCAACAGGCTGGAATGGCGAGCATCAATAATTGTTGTTGTGTTGAAATCTGGAAGATGACTTAAGCAACATAAGACTCACAAAATAAGGTTGTATCCGCGGCGCATCACATGCAAAAGCGCGGAGTTCCCTGTCAAGTCACATTTTCAGGGTCCTCGACTACCCCGCGTTCGCCCAAGCGCCTCAGAAGAAAGTGGGGGTCATTGATATCGACATTCACAGCTTCCAGACAGTACGCAGTTCTCATGAAAAAGACGTATGTTCAGCTCGTCCCAACCTAATGCTCTTTCTCCGCCCAGAACGTCAAGAATCGACTCACAGTCCTCTCCTCCCAATAATGTGCCTCTCTGATGTAATTCGGCTCAGCGCTGACATTCTTAATCCCATAGCTATCCCAATGATGTCCAGCTCCCGCAATCAGGTAACTCGGATACTTATCGCTGCTGATCCTAGGCTGAGCCGCCAAGTTTGAATGGTAGCACAGATCGAGCCAGACATCTGTGTTGCCATCGATGAGAGCGAGATTCTCAGCCTGAAGATCCCAGCCTCCGTATTTGTTGTAGTAGTGCAAGGCGGGAGTGGCGGGGATGCTGTTGTGCTCGCCGGGTGGAAAGGCCCAGGTGCACCATTGCTGGGTGTAGTCGATCTGGAGGACGCGAGAGATGAGAGATGGGCCGTTTGTGGGCGCCACTTGGTAAGCGCCAGACTCGGAACAGGTTGAGTAGAGGTATGAGCGCGCTGCTCCGTTTGTGGGGTCGGCGTAGTATGTCTGGTTTTGGGTGCCGAAGCAACCGGAGTCTGTGCTGTCGATCCGGCCACTCTCGCAGGTTGGGATGAGCGTCTTCTTGACGTAGTCGGCATATCCACCTAATCCAGTCCAAGCCTCGCCGTTGGAGTATTGGGAAAGCGCCATATCGACGCTGCTGATGTTTGCTGGTGGATCAACTTGCGTTACATTGCCGCAGAAGCTAAAGAAGTCTTTTGAGCCGTAGCGGTCGGACCAGTCTAGTTAAATGTCAGTTGCTGTTTTATCACGGAATCGTGGAATGCAGTCACTTACTGAGCTCTTGCCAAGTGTTGGTGGGATAGTTCATGGGACCACCAATCGGGAACGCAATCGTCATAGCAAAGTCTCTTAGATCTTGCAGGGCTCCGAGACCAAAGATATCCTTGAGCTGCTGGATGCCGTCTTTGTTCCCACTCCAGATGAGCTCATCGATCTTGTCAACAATGTCGACAATCCTGGAAACACAGTCCGCTGGGCCAAACTTCATGATTGGATTATACCATTGCGGATATTCGAGTAAGGCTTGGATGGTGGCGCTACTACCGATACCTCCAGCAAAGATGTCGTTGTATGTCTTCATAGTGAATGCGGTGTGAGCACCAGCAAGAGAACCGCCGTACATGATCCATGGAGTGTCGACGCTGCTCAAAGTGGCGTTGATACCTGGAAAAGTAGCATGCTGCCTGAAGTAGGCGTTATCGGCAATGGCTACAACACGTCAGAACACGCGACTATCGAAATCTTGAGCATCACTTACTCTGCTCTGTAGTGAGGAACCGTAGCTCATCCGTCGTACTAGAGTTGTAAGGGTAGCTTTCGCCATAGTAACGATTCTCAAGAATCACTCCAAGGCCATTGAACTTTTCCATGAGTATCTGGATGACTATAAGAACTAATCAGTTACCCGACAAGAGGTATCGCGGTGATTTGTGCTGATGACTTACTTCCTGTCTGTAAATTAGAGAAGCGCGACTCTACGCTCGTCTCCCCGCCAATGTAGAGGAATACCGGCCCTCCAGGCTTGTAGTAAGATGAATCGAAAACTGTACAAAAGAGTAAGCCCAGACTGTAAACGTAGATAGCAGTGTTATATTTACCATATCGCTGCGTGAACGTGGCATTGGTATGCGGAAGGTACCGATCGCTATCCGGAAAATGATCAATCTGCCACAACAATCAGCAAAAGGCCAGCAGCCAACGAAAAGCACGGCGACGAACCAACTGATCAACTGTATGCGCTTCATAAGCCGGCGCATCACCAGCTTGTCTCTTATCCATCCATGGCGTCCCAGTCTTAGCCAGACCCGCAGACCCCAGCGCCGCGAAACTGCAAACCGTTGTCAGAAACCTCATTCTCAAAACCTCTGTCCAGTCGACGTACCAGTGAACTTTGGAAGTACCGCATCGCTTTTATACGGCCCTCAAACTCGGCTTCTCGGAACCTGGGCTTGCCATCGCGTCATGTTCCTCTGTACCTCAAAAGCGGGGCAAGGCACGTTGGGTGCAGCGAGCGATGCCTAGACAGGCAGGTAGACGCAAGGCTTGTGCAGGCTTGGTGAAGCTTGTCGCTGCTTGGTATCTGCCTTGCTGCTTTGGAACTATCTGCTTACTGTCTTATCGTGCGGTGAGGCTTTTCTGCGATGCGTAAGCGGGGTGGCTGGCTGTGTTTGTGAGCTTGGGTGGTGGTGCAACATCGCCGCTTTGCAAAGAACTTGCTCCGCTGAGCGATGCTGGAAAGGGCAAAGAGGTTACGCATTTCCGAACAAATCAATTGAGTGTACATAAAAAATACATACACATGCGCCATTGTAAGATTGGGTTCATTCGGCTACCCTGAGTGCTACCCCGAGTTCCAATCAGTAGCCTCATCCGGGCTCAGCTACAGGAACGATGACGCAACACTGCATCGCCAAATCTCCTCACTCCAGCTCCGCACTCGTAGGCCTAATCGACATACCAGCTTTCTCATACGTCCGATCCGTAGCTTCCATCTGCCTAATGCTCTCCTCGCCGTCCACCCAGGCACCACTTCCCTCTCTGCCTTTGACCCTGTTCACAAACTCCTCAAGCTGGTACCGATACGATGTCCACCAATCCTGTCCCCTTTCTTCGCCGCCCATACCCTCAGTCCACTTGTATGCTGTTTTGTGTTCGGTCTTCTTCTCTTGTTTGACGATGTTGCCAGATGTGGGGTCGCGCAAGGTGATGGTTGTAGTGATGTCGATGCGATGGTAGGCATGCGGACTCATGAAACCTGAGAAGATAAGTACCTTCTGACTAGACTTTTGTAGACCGCCTTCGACACCAAGATCTTCAGGATGTAGAGTCACGGAGATCCAGGCAAGCAGATCGCGGAAACTGGGCCAGTTGGATGTTAGCCATGGGAACCAGTAGCCACCCCGAGCACCTAGATCGGCTGAAACGTGACCAGTGCCGCCATTGGGAAAAGTGTAGGTGGCTTCCATGGATTGGTCGCAGCGTTGGTCGTGTGGTGCGTGTATGAGACGAGGTGTTGCTGAGGTGACTTCTGTGGGCTCAGTTCCAAAGACGCCTCGTAGTGCAGAGAGGGTGTAGTGTCCTAGGTCCATTGCAGCGCCACCAGCAAGATCATATTCAAACCTGATATCCGTCGCAGGAATGCCTCCTTTCGGCACTCCAGCGCGAGCACTTGCTTTCTCTAACTCCTGCTTTTCGAATTGCGCAAGGAAGGAATGCCAAGCGGGATGGAAGCGATAGTGACTTGCTTCAACAAGGACCGGAGCATCCGGAGTATCGAGGACTTGGTGGTGAAAAAGAGAGCGTGCCTCTTGTGCGTTAGACACGGACGGCTTCTCTAACAGGACGTGCTTTCCTGCTTTGAGGGCGGCGAGCGTCCATTTGTAGTGAAGGCCGTTGGGGAGGGGATTGTATATACAATCAATGGATGGATCGTTGATGAGCGCTACAACAGGTTAGTGTAACCTTGCGGTAGCTCGGGGCATTCATGTCCGATGCTTCCTGGTTAAAGAGATGCCACGAGATGGGCTACCTACCTTCATAGCTGTCATGAACGATTGGCACATCCCATCTCTTCGCATAAGCCTCCGCTTTCGTCTTATCTCTAGCTGCAACAGCAACGACTATGATCTCTGCATGTGACCGCGCTGGGATGATCAAAGCTAATGGACTGTTCGACGATATGTTTTAGCTTCAAGTCTCATCTTGACGTCTTGTTATGGACAAAGACAATAGAGCGTAGACGTACGCGATCTTGGCAGCACCCAAAACGCCGAAGCGCAGCGCATCCGACTTCTTCGTCACCGGCTTGCGTCCACCAGCCCACTCACCAAACTCCGCCATGGAGTTCAACCAATCGACGAGCCCCATATTTGACTATACGCGCAATACGAAACGCAATAGCTGAGCAGGAACGATGAGGAAGATGAAGACCTATATTTGTATGTAGGATCGTCTTCCAAGCGGGCGTTGCGCTGAGCATACGCCCCGCATGCAGTGCGCTGTATCGCAGCTGGACTTCCAAGATTCCCGAGGCACGAATCAGATTGATTGGCCCGTTCGTACGACACGACCTCAACCTCCATGTGGCGCCTGTGGCTGTGCATCAGGACCATGAACTACATCGCAACGACATTTCAAGATCGAAATCGCATAATGTCTGAGAGCGAGCGAAAGGTCCGCCTGATACCCAGATAGACCCCCACAGGTCTAGAGCAAGTACGCCGACAATCGATGACCAGCATATGCAGCTGGTGTGTAGTGAGGGCAATATACAGCACTTCAGCCGGATACAGCATCTTGCAGATGGAGCGTGGGGTGTTCCTTGCATACGTCCTCCAAGACGCGTTGACACCGTATAGCTCAGCTAGTCGAACTTACAGTGTGGCAGCCATGCTCGCAACAACGCAAGATTCTTTGATGCCTGATAGATAGGCTGAATCTAATCTTACACGCCTCAAACTCGTAGACCCGGCTAATAGCCACAGGCACCGCCTATGCAAATACCGAGGCACCGTTTGAAGCAGAAACTCTCTCACACTGTACTCCGGAGCAGACCATGCAAGTCAGCAAGCAATGTCCGAGGCCAGCGGCAAAGGCGGTGGTAACAGGCGTGGCAATATTGAATCATGGCGCGATTAATGGCTGTACTTGTTTCAGATGTCAGACGTGGTGGCGAGAGAATCCACTTTACCATATTGGACGACGTGCATGAACGGCATGTTCAGGACGCTGCTGTTTGATCGACAGAGCTACACACACACGATTGTGTGGGAAAGAGTGGGTGTGGGATATTATTGTCCACGAATGCCTTGCTGCCTGCGAAACAGATTGCGCAAGCGACGGGCAAGGAGGACGTCCATCCTTGTTTTGACACTCTATCTTGCAGGCATTGCATATCATGCATAGCGGTACGCAAATAAGAGCAATATTGTGTACGGCCTGTTTGGGAGATCTCCATGAAGTCGGCGGAAATTTGTCGGTGACGCTCAAGGTAACGGAGGTATTACAATGAAAATCGTTTGTGTGCTCGGCGAGGAAACATGTGGAAAAAATAATTTGGCCGAGCTTGATCAACCGGACTGAACGTTTACCGTGCTGGGGTCTTCCATTGAGGTCACTGCGAGGCGGTTCGCTTACAGCCGCAGTGCTTGGCTGATGGTGAATCTGCGTAATGATCACCGAAAGGAGTGTGATGTTAGGCGAACAAGGCGAATATCGCAATTCCCACATAACAACCTAGGAAGTCACAAGATTGAAAATCCTCCTCACACATGCTGCGTCGTAGCCTCCACCTGACCTATACAGCGGTGAGCCATGTAAGGGTTTTACAGCGGTAGCCGGCAGCTACAGGTTCAACGGCTTTTCCCTTTTGCGCGATGGGATCCGAGAACCCGGTTGCGACATGGGACATCGGCCAAATTGCAACGGCGTCCGTGTCGTAACGGTGACAGCTTGGGTACACCGCTGGAGGTGAGTCAGAGCGAGTGATCAAGTCGCCGACGATCTACTAAGAAAGGCCGACTGAGTGGGTTGATTGACAGCGGACTTTGCCAGCGGTCGGGGCGCGGTAGGCATCAAGGAAAAATAAGGCTGCAGGCTGCATACTCTGCCCGCGGGACCCACGATCTGCAACAAAAGCAACGTGGTTTGTGGAATGCGGGCGTGAGTCAATGATCTGCCAGGGATTGAGCAAGCACTTGGACGCACGCAGAGGGCTTGCATGGACGTGTGATTGATATGCGCTTGCGTGCGTGAAAGTTGATGTATCGAAGGACGACTGCAGGTTTCCACACGTTGTACACACGGCAACGCGCAGCTTGCGTCAGCCGATGGCGTACATGGATGCCTCGCTTCTTGCAGGATGGATTGAGTTGACGTCTGACAGAGCTGTTCTTAGCATCATCGGTGTTTGCGAGAGCAATTTGATAGCTAAGCGATGGGTCTGTGTGCGTGCAGAGGACCGATTGCATGGTTGCTCAGGTCCGTATTCATCAGACCGGAATGCAGCCTTGATGCCTTCTGCCAATGACAGGGAATTGCAGAGGACGAAGGACGTCGGCGTTGCTCAAAGTCAATTCGCAAATGAGAGGTGCCATGAAACCGAGGGACTCCCAGTCAGCAGCGCAGACAAGTGCAAACTGTATACGCCTGGGCCCGAGCCGTCTTTGGTCGCCCACTGCGAACGTCGGCATACTCATCCGAGTATCAGTTGTCAAACACCGTCAGGGTGCTGCGGCGTGCGACTCTGGTGTGGCTGCCCCCAACGTGGTGTGCCCGGACCCGCTCGGAGGGGCGGAGATTGGCGTCAATTTGCGGCGTAGGCACACAATGGTACTTCCTGTGTAACCGCGCGATGCGCAGGTTGTTGTTGGCCATGATAGCAGAGGGGTAGTGCAATGCGACGCATACCGCTAACGGCTGCGCAGCTGCGGGCACGTCTGGCAGAGCGGTGAAGTCGTGCAACATGCGAAGCTGCTATGGCGACAGACGGTGCTGGGTTAGCGTGTGGTAGTCGATGCAGCGGTGGTTGGCTATACGCAGAGGAGTCATCTGCCTCAGCTGAAAGCAGGCCAGGGCTCCTGGCAGCATGCACCTGTGCCTGAAGGGCTTCACGGCCGCTGTCGTTGGAGCTAGGCAGGCAGGCGCAACCGAGCCAAACCACAGACTAGGGCCCTGCCAATATTCGCATTCAGACACCGCATCTGTCCTGCTGATTAGCGTTGCAAGATGAAGCGGCGGCAAGTATCGTCGTTCCTGCACAAGCCGGGGTGGTGCCGTGATTTCAAGGTGAACCGGTCACACGGAAGGTTTCGGTAGCTGCGGGACACCTGAATCTGCATCGCAGGTAAACGACTCGCATTATTGGCTCTCTATTCGACCTGTCAGGACTACGTCACACAGCGCCCACGTGTGTACCACCAAGCGCTTGTGATGTACAGGTGCCTGATTGTGGAGGTTGCAGTCCTGGTGGCTCTGACATGCTGCCGCGCTTGTCAACCACCGGCGCGTCCTATCACCGCCATGTGCCTTAGCGGATAGCAATGGTGGTGTGCACGGGAACTATCGCGCGCGCTGACAACTGGGCTGCCATGTTAGCGGAAGATGCCTTGCGCCCAGGAGACGTTCACTTCAGCCCCCAACGCCTTCAGTGTCGACTGCCGACGCGATTAGTGATCAGGAGCGTGCTGTGGCGATGATTGGCACCCGGGTTTCACATGCAACAGAAGACAAGGTATGCGTGTAGTTGATCTGAGATCAAATGATTAATGCTATGAGACGATATTGGGTATTCCTCCTGGCTGTGATGCCGCCTAACCAGTAATAGAACTCCAAAAGCTAATGATGCTATGATGCCACACAGCCAATCCCAAGCGCCAACTAATGCATGTTCCAAAGCAAGTAATACGCTCAATATTAGAAGGACTGCGGTGTGTATGTGCCAAAATGAAGTAGGCGTCTATAGAGAAGGATCGTTCCGGACACCCGAGCCAGCGTGTGTTGGATATGCAGTCGTAGCCATGCTCCGATGTGAGTCAGACGAGCAGGTCCTGGTAGATGCAGCAATGCCACATGGCTGCAGGCCGTCATGTGGAGGCTTGTGATGCAAGGCTGAAATGGTGTGGGATCGCTCTCCAAAGACAAGCGTAGGCTGCTTTTAACCGGATTTCGCGGCGGATGTCAGGTGAGTGACGTGGAGTTGTTCGGAGTCTAGGGCGCGTAGTGCGTCCAAGATCAGATCGTACTGGGTGCTGCAGATGCACTGCATGATGGCGGCAGACCAGGCGGCAAGGTGCGGGTCGATGTCGGTTGGTAGAGTATTAGGGTGGGGTGCGGTGGATGTTCGGTAAGGATGCGGAGTTGATATCGATGTTGTGGTGCGCCAAAGCCAAGTGTGTAAGTCGAGCAAGACAGACATGTGAGTTGATGTTCATGTTGATGTCTATTTGGATGGGACAGGAGGCAGAGGGCGGGTTGGTGGTGGGCCAGGGCAAGGTGGGAGGTTTTGCGATCCCATGTTGGACTCCTCGTAGATGATGGCGGCCATTGTGTTGAGTTGAAGGTGAAGCTGGTAGGCTTGTGTAGAGCGGAAGCGTTGAGTAGGTTGTTGTAGTGTTGGTTGGTAGTGTTGTAGTAGTAGTGGTAGTAGTCTTCGGCTCTGGATGATGAAACGAACTCTCCGATGGTGGGGGGTCAACGTATTTATGTTTGTGCTCAGATTGCAGACCCCCAAAATGTCGGTCAGCTACGTACTTTGACGATGTGTGTAATAATGCTAGGCAGGGCATGGCACGGCCCAAGCGGTGAAAGAGGCGTTGGGCTGATGAGCAGGAAAGGGGTGGCTCCTGGCTTGTGCATAAGCTAAAGCACGCCGAAACATCGCTGATCCTGGTCACTTAATGAGCAGGGGGGAGAAGAAACACGAACTCGCGCGTTACCGCCTTGTCGTTTCATCGGCCTCGTGACTGCGTGAAGATCGTGTTGATCCAATCCTGTCGCAGTATTGTCGCCGTCGCGGCATGTCCTTCGTACAACGCATCATCCTTCAGGCAAGGCAGCAGGCTCAGCGAGGCATGATTGACCCACGGCACGTTCGTTCTCTCTTCTGACATCACCTGTTCCCTGACACTACCGGCTTATTGCTAGCAGACATGGCTAGTGCGAACGGTCGTGTGAATGAAACGTAGCCCTCCTTTTCACCTTGACGGTGCGCAGGGCTGGGATCAGTCGCCGCCTTGGGACCGCTTGCAAGAGGGTTTGCTTGCGAGCGCTTCAGGAACAGGCATCGCTCGGTTCCAGTAGCCGGTGCGTGCCAGGAGCAAATTCTGACACACTGACAGTAAATTTCCGTCACACAATTTGCGACGTCGCCTATTTGCCAACGTCCGACACCCACCGACCTCCAGCGCAGGACGAAGATCTAGCGCCTATGCCGACCTTCTCCCGTGCTTCTTTGACGCTTCCACCCAATTTCGAAGCCCCCTAGAATTTTCCGCTCCACAATGTCCACAACTGCTGGCGCCCGTGCTGGCGGTGTGAGGTCAGGCATGACTTTCCAGCTGCTGTCCTGAATCGACAGGCCGGGGTACACACGTTCGTTCGTGGGCAGCTAGGCTGAGAATGCGAAGCACCGCACAAAGGCATGTCATGATTATTTTTGTCTTTCTGGCTTGCCGTCTTCGTGCGACTCGTATTAATCCTGGCTCGCGCTTGTGACCGAGGTAGGAGTAGCTGCCGACGCCCAGTATGCCCTGTTTTCCAAGAACGTCCGGCGACCACAACTGGCTGGCAGTGGCCGCTCGATAAAGGTTATCAGGATATTCGGCTGGGCCGGAAGGACAGAGTTGAACGGGCGCCATACTGCCACTAGGAGCTCAGCACCGCAGAACACCATTGCGGAGTGACGGACAACAGCACCGCAACTTGCATGTCTCAGCTGCTCAAGATCCACGTGGATGCCAGGGGTCCACGTCCGACTTCAGATAGGCGTTCCTTTGATTGAGATTCGCAATATGTATGCCTCTCTTCACCCCTGCAGCCTCCCCGGTCAATGCCACGATTGTCGAAGCGTTTGCCCTGACGAGCCTGTGCGCGACAAGCAAAGAATGTCCCTTGTTCACCAGAAAGAAAAAAAGTGCGGCGATGCGCTCATCGTCGAAGGTAAGCGATTAGATTTGCAGGGGCAGACGATGCGTCAAACTCAACACAGCAAGTATCGTCCTCACCATCGCCACCCCCTTCGGTAGTTCAGTAGCTCAGTCTCAACGCTTCCAAAGAGCAGCTGTTTCAGCTTGGTGGAGAAGGAATGCGCAGATGTTACAGTCCAATGCGAAGACATGCGACAGCATCGAAGATCTGGTCTCATCCCAGTAAAAGACTTTAGGGCTGACAAGCGTTCCAACCAACTGGCCAGCGCGGAGAGACGACAGGAGACCGAGCGTTAGCATGTCTGCCGTTAATTGACAGCCCATAAGATTGGAGCCACACAGGTAGAGTATGTGTAGTTTGAGCTGCAGGGGCGGCCGCCATGCAGACTGCAGTAAGTAATCACGGCACCTTTCGACCGACAAACTTTTCATCTTGAGGCTGTCTGATTTAATAAGCCCTCTCGTAGTTCCAATGCAGGACTGCTTGCAGCAGTGACTGCGGCGTTCAGGTCGCCGAAAAACAAACGTCGTATTGGCACTGAACTCTATCCTCCGGCTCCGCTTTCGTCGTCGTGGCTAGCCGAACACCGCGTCATTATAGAGATGGTATTGATTCTGCCATGCTTTGGCTGCCATAGTGCGATAACGGCGGTGGATCAAGGCGATCGTCATCAGCAGATCAATAGCTCGGTGTGGAGAGGACTCCAGGCACGCTGCTGCAGGTACGCGCATCATGTCTCGGCGCCGCTGCCGCACTCTGTGTGGCTTACGCTCCTTTACTTTCGCGCGACAGCGGATTGGGCTGTGCCAGGCCGGCGAGCCCGAAGCGCTACCTGTGAAAGGACTCGAAGAAGACAAAGACGAGACGACTCTGGAAGGGTGTACGCCGGAGAGGCACCGAGTTCACGCTCGCCAAGGCAGTGGTTCCTCACATTTGTTTTCGATCAGCGAGCTGTGGAGCTGTGTCGCAATATTCAATGTATCGATCGAGCCCAAAATCTGCATTTAGATACAATAGCACGCCTGGTCGTACCGGAAAGCCGACCGATCCTCCCACCTTTGTCAATACATCAGCACCTTTGTGTGCTTTGTTTCAGATTCATTATCCTCATCAGGTCCCCATTAGGACATTGACCGCGTTTGTGGTAAGATGAGGCGTGCGTACACAAGATGGCGCGCGAAAATCGTGGCGCATGTTGTGCCCTCTGGGAGAATGGTTCACTAAGCCAGCCACCTATTGCGCAGGGGCTTCTTGAGGGACCGCGCATTTATCCGGTATAATGGTTCAGCCAGTGCGTTCCACGTGGATGAAGCCTGTCATGAACTTGTCGTGTTCAGGGTCGGCGCATCGTGACCGCCCTTGTTATTTTTGTCCCTGATAGTCCGCGATCGTATCAGTCCACAGCTGTCATGATAGAATTGCCGGCCAGCTAGCACTAGCTTGCTGAATCTTTTCAAACGGCGTCTTCATCGTCGTCAAGCTGTTCAGCCACAGCTTGCGTAGACACCCAATTCTCGAGCATTGCCTGGCTGGAAGTTGCGCCACTCGCTCCTGCCGGATTTCGCACGCCACGGCGCTTAACGACAAGACATAGTATACGGCCGTAGATACTGAAGCCGTCATATGATGTATTGAGACCAAGTTTTTTCTTATCATCTGCTTGTGGTTCCTCATCACTGGCCTGATCATCATCCCTTGTGGTGGCCTTCGTCTTGCTGCCATTGGCAGGAGGCTCGGGGACAAAAAGATCCGAACTTTCGCTGTCCGTATCATCGCCGATTCCATCATGCTCTTTGTTGCCTCTTCGGCGTCTTGGTCGTGCTGAACGTTCAGGCTGCTTTCCAGCTACGTCGGCTGCAGGGATATCAGCAAGATTGATAGGCTCGTCGTCGTCGTCCTCCTCTCTGATGACTATCGGATCTGCGGCATCTTCGTTGATAACGACAGGCTGATCGCTAGTTCCGGTTGTCAGCCAGTTGGTGAGTTTGCCCGAGTTGCTCTGGATGCGGGCCTTGTCTTTGAAGATCTTTTGCTTGGTCAGAACGGAGTGGCGGGAGGATAGGTCCGTCAAGAAGATCGAAACCTCGAAATCATCTGACGTGAGGTTAGCCGTCTGAGTAAGACTGCAGCATATATGCGGGGATGCCTGTATCCTAGATGGTTCGACAAGGCTTCATGCAGCTTACCCTCAACAACAACATCCTTCACTCCCTTCTTTTTAGATTTGGTACCACCTCGGCCTTTACCCCGCTCGTTTTCTTCTCGCAGTTTGGGCAGTACAAGCGGTCGTATGGCCTGAATGACGCGTGGCAGTGCTGGATCATCGCGTTTCAACAGCCATGCCTCAGCGTCAGCAGGTCTGTCGAGATAGATGCGGACCTCGAGGACCGAATATTTTGTAATCCGCAAGTAGCGTCGGAGTGGTGCCATGTTGGAGTTGTGAAGGTTTGATGTCGACGATGTAATCAAGCAAGTGCGACTGGGAGCATGGAAACCAACGATGATGCGTGTTCACGTGCACGCGTTCCGACGCTAGGAACGTTCCGATCGGCGTGCGCAGAAGTTGTAGAGAAGTGCGTCAGGGTCTCGCAGACCAACAGCGCACCGCAACACGGCACAAGACATGGTGCTTGAGCTTCATGTATGGGGCCCAGCCTTTGGCCTCCCCTCAATAGAGCCGGAATGCATAGCGACGGTGGCTTACTGCCAGCGCGTCATTCCCAAGGGAGACTGGACACTCGTCGCGGAGCACGACCCCACGGTTGGCGCCACAGGTACAGGACTGCAACCCCACCGTGGCCGACGTACATTCTTACACAGCAGCAGAGAGCCTGCCGATCCTTTTTGATGACGATGTTGCGACCGCATCCGGCTTCGAGGATATCGTCGCATACCTCCGCAATCACCCTGCAGTTACCAATGACCTTGATGTCAACCTATCCAGTAGACAGCGGACCGACAGGACGGCGTAAGTACCCAACGACCAAGTATTAGGCGTGCTCTAACGCATTCCCAGTTTTATCACGTTTCTCCAGTCCACGGCGACGCCTCTGATCGACCTGTCCCTCTACGTCTCTGCCGAAAACTACAACACGGCGACCTCGTCCGCTTATACCGCAATCCTGCCATGGTATGCCAACTACACCGTCCCGCCGAAACGACGAGACCTTGCGAGAGCCCGGACGGCACATATGGGACTCAGTAGCTTGGATGTGGATACTACAGCCGAGGAAGGCTTTGCGCCGGGTCGGGGCACTGCTTCGTCCGAATATGAGGCCGCAAAAAGGGCAGCCGGCATACCGACCGAAAGTCAGCCCAGCGCCATGAGCATGGGGCGTGGAAAGGGTCTAGGCGGCCTCCTAGGTGGCCAAGTGTACGCTGCGCGCTTTAGGCTGGATGCTCTGTCGGGTGAGCTCCTGGATCCCTTATCAGATCTATTGGGAAAACATGACCATCTCTTTCGCGGAGAGCAGCCTTCTAGCTTGGATTGTCTTGCCTTTGGCTATCTGTCCTTGCTGTACTACCCAACGGTGCCCCAAGCTTGGCTTAGGGAGACTATCCAGACCAAGTATCCACGCATCGGAGCATACATTCGCAAGTTGCGCAAGGAGTTCTTCCACACCGACGAGGTAGACCCTGTAGATGTCTGGTCTGTTTCTACGGGCGCGAAGAAATCCCTAAGAAGTACCTCTCTACCATGGACAGCAAGATCACAGACTCTCGCCTCCAGTACGCTAGCTAGTGTGAAGGAGATATTGGGTAACACTCCTGGACTGTCTGCCTTGTCTCGACGGCACAACGTTGTTGTCTCAGAGCCAACGCTAGTATCAAAGCGCATCAGATCTGAGCTCCCGTCTCCGTTGTTCGTCAACACCCTCCTAGGTGTGACAACTGTATTCGCAGTAGGACTAGCATCGCTAGCTGTGCACCACCGCCGGTCACCGCGGGAGGGCGAACTTATCTTTTGGGCTCTGCGCCCAACCACTGGCCTGGGCGAAGCAGGTAGCATCCTCAGTGTCTTCGCCAACTCGCTCCATGACGGAGCGATGTATTAGTTCCGAGCATGATGTTTTGACGATATACCATGGAATTATGCACGAGTTATACATGGGCAGTGTAGACTGAGAAAACCAAGTTTCTGCCATTGGCCAAAGCTTGCCATTGCAAGCGAATATTTGGAATTGCAAAGATAACCACTCTGCACCAGTGCTGTACACACACGTCGCGGAACCTCCGGCAACCAACTCCCTCTGTCTACAGCAACATCTCCGCTGCCATATAGTCGCTGCCCTGGCGAGCATTGAAAACCTGCAGAAAGTACCCATTTGAACCTTAATAGATGCGCAACCTGATTTATAGACGACTTGAATGGCTCTTTCCGAGGATCTAGGGAGAGACGATTTCCTGGTAGTGCGGTTGTCATGGCGCCCATGGGTCCCGAAAACAGGCACACATCAACGTCACATCAGCCGGATCGAACATAGCCACTGGCGCCAAAAGTTCTGGCCCCAAGCTAGGTGGGATCAGCGCAAGCAGGGCAACCATTGTCTGACTGTGTACGATATAGGTGTCGCATGTGAGTGCAACCCACGAGAAAGGGTCTGGGTTCAAATGCAGGTACTCAGGGTCGTAGAAGGATGCTCTATGCTGGTTTGGGCGTGCCAATGTCACAGTGTGGAGGATGTGCATGATGTGAGGGAAGGTAGCGTGCCCAAGAACATGATCGCCACGGGGAGAGTGGGGCTAGGCAAACGCTACGTCATTGAAGTCCCCTAAACAAAACCTCCGTCATACCGCGACATCTCTGCGCCTTCCATATCAACACCGCGCCGTCCCCGAAACTTCAAGCACGACCACATTCCTCCAATCCCCACTTCATCAATCGCCAGAACACCACCGCCAACATGCACAGAACCTACAGCATGCGCCAGTCTCGCGCGCCTACGGCGTCGCAGATTCAGAGCCCCCCGCCCCCTTCGTCTTCGACCAAGAGCGGACGCTTCTTTGGCAAGGCCAACATCGGTACGTCCTCTAGATATGATTCGGCCTGCTTTTGTCTTGTTCCCAGTCCCGACGCGAATCGTGCGAGGAGCTTCGCGCAATGCCATTTTTGCACACTGCATGTGCAGAGCTTGTCGCATGGTTCAGCAAATGACGACCATTTCGATCGTTGATGCTCCCGGATAGCGTCCAGACTGTTCAGAGAATGCTTTGTTATGCTACAGTTGCTGACTGGTCCTCTACCATACAGGCCACACCTTCCGCCACAAGTCCGCTGGTGCCTTCGGACCCGACCTTGCAAAGAAGCTGTCACAACTTGTCAAGATGGAGAAGAACGTCATGCGCAGCATGGAGCTTGTTTCCAGGGAGCGCATGGAGGTCGCAGTAAGCTTGCACGACTATGTGCGACTTTACGTAGTACTAACTGGCCACACAGCAACAACTCTCCATTTGGGGCGAGGCTTGCGACGACGACGTCTCTGACGTCACTGACAAGCTCGGTGTCCTCATCTACGAGATCGGTGAGCTCGAGGACCAGTACGTTGACCGTTACGACCAATACCGCGTCACCATCAAGAGCATCCGTAACATTGAGGCTTCCGTCCAGCCCAGCCGTGACCGTAAGTCTACTACGTGCGCTCCGTCGAATTGACGCTTACGTTCAGACAGGCAAGCAGAAGATTACCGATCAGATTGCTCAGTTGAAGTACAAGGAGCCCAACTCTCCCAAGATTGTTGTCCTCGAGCAGGAGCTTGTACGTGCTGAGGCCGAGTCCCTCGTCGCAGAGGCCCAACTCTCCAACATCACCCGTGAGAAGCTCAAGGCAGCTTTCACGTACCAATTCGATGCCATGCGCGAGCACTGCGAGAAGCTGGCCATCATCGCCGGCTACGGAAAGCACTTGCTCGAGCTCGTCGACGACACCCCTGTCACTCCCGGAGAGACCCGTCAAGCTTACGACGGCTACGAGGCTAGCAAGGCGTACGTTAATACACTCGACCCCATGAGAAACCTTCACTAACATGTCACAGCATCATTCAAGACTGCGAGGATGCCCTTACCAACTGGGTGTCTCAGAACGCTTCTGTCTCCTCCAAGCTCTCCCAGCGATCGCGTACCCTTTCTCAGCGTCGCCGCAACCAGAACCGCAACATGGGCGAGGGTGTTGACCTCTCTGGCCAAGACCAGGCCCTCGACAGGGAGTCAGGCTTGTGGATCCCTGCCGAGCAGCACCAGGGCAACGGCTACGAGGGCGAAGATCTTGACGACGATGTCACTTCCACCATCGCTAGTGAGCACCAGCGCGGTCGCGAGGACGAGAGGGTTGTTGCTGCTTAGACGTCGCACTGACGGCTTAAGCAGTGTTCCACTCTCTGTCCACTAATAGTCCGTCTTCACGAGGACTGACGACTTATACCCCTGATGGAATGAGCGACGACACTGCAGTTTTGGATCCGATATATCCGATCAATGTGGCTTGGGCTATGTGATGGAAAGCTTTCTGGATGACCAATCTCACTAGAAGCTGAAGTCTGGTTTTGGGCATACGGATATCATGACTTTTTGACGATTTTCGCCGCGCGTTGTATGAACCTTGCAGTAATAGTGTAATGAGATAATCTATATGCTTCGTTGAACATGATACAATATCCGCATTTATCGTTATGTGATTGAAGTCCAGATGCTCTTATTGTCGCAGCACCATGTGAGTCTGTATTCAGTCTCTACCACGGCATACATTGACCCGAACCTGAAGCCCACCGGCCGGACACACTTCGTTCTCATCAACAAGCCGCAGCATCTTTTCATCGAGCCGGCCCGCCCGCCGATGTTCAATGTCCAATCTTGGTGCCGCCGGGTTCCCCAACACAGTCTGCCATCGGTCATTTGCCGACGACCCACTTTCGGCGGGTGAGAGATACCCCACCTAACCGGTTTCGCTCATAGTGCGGGGCAACCAGGATGAATGTCAATGACCGAAGACGGGTCTTTTGCCGGCCCAAGGCCATTTTCCCTGGGGAACATAGCGGCGTGTGACGTTGAGCTGTGGGGTGATGGCAGAGAAGTGCGTGGTCGATGTTTTGTGACTGACATCTTGACTCCAACTCTCAACTTCAGACGTCAAATCGGGTGTATCGCAATTAAGAAAGAGCTAGATATCGGGAACAGCATAAAAAAGAGTGATACCAAAGAAAGCTACTGCATCTGTGGATAACGGCTTCCGTGCAGTATTCGTCGCGTCAACGTTGAAAACCCAGTGTCGAGATAGGATACTCTGGGACACCGAACTGGTCCCCCTTTCAAACCAAATCAGGAAGACACCACAAACACCACAACAATGTCGTCTAAACCCCAAATCGGCTTCTGCGGCCTAGGCGCGATGGGTATGGGCATGGCCACGCATCTCGTCAAGCAAGGCTACCCCGTAACCGGTTTCGACGTTTATCCTCCTTCGCTGGAGAAGTTCAAGGCTGCGGGCGGCACACCATCAACATCACTCTCAGAATCTGCAAAAGACAAGCCTTTCTACATCGTCATGGTCGCATCGGCTATGCAAGCTCAGCCCGCGCTTTTCGACAAGGACGGCATTGTGAACGCTTTGCCAAAGGGAGCGACACTCTTGCTGTGCTCGACAGTACCAAGTGCGTACGCGAAGAGTGTAGAGAAAGAGCTGGTAGATATCGGCCGCGATGATGTACTATTCATTGATGCACCTGTCTCAGGTGGTGCAGGCCGAGCCGCAGACGGCACTCTCTCCATCATGGCGGGCGCCTCATCTGCCGCGTTTTCAAAAGGCCAATGGCTACTCGAAGAAATGTCCGCCCCTTCCAAGCTTTTCATCGTTGATGGCGGGATCGGTGCTGGCAGCAACATGAAGATGGTTCACCAGGTGCTTGCGGCAATCCAGATCCTGTCTCTCAGCGAAGCATATGGGTTCGCTGCTAGACTGGGCTTGAACGGACAGGATGTGTACGACAAAGTACTGGGGAGTACGGGCTGGAGTTGGATGTTTGAGAACCGCAGTCAGAGGACACTGAAGGAAGACTATTTCCCAGGAGCGAGTGCTGTGACGATTATCTTGAAGGATACTGTAAGTAACCCTTCACCCTCGGGATCCCGAAGTGATGTGGCATTGTACTAACAAGAAAAAAACAGGGAATCATCACATCCATGTCCCGCAGCGTAGCCTTCCCAGCCACCCTCTGCTCAGCCGCTGAACAAGTCTACTTCTCCGCCCTCGACCGCGGCTGGGGCGCCAACGACGACTCTGGCCTCGTCCGCCTTTGGACCTCCGAGCCCGTCACCAGCATCCAAAGCAGCCTCTCAGCCGAGGACAAAGAAGCTAAGCTCCAGCTCGTAGTCAACCTCCTAACTGGCATTCATCTTGTCTCCGCAGCTGAAGCCATCTCGCTCGCCAAGCACGTCGGTATCCCATTACCGCAGTTCTACGAGCTGGCGTGTGATGCCGCGGGTGGAAGTGCCATGTTCAAGGATGCGGGTGCGAAGATGATTACTGTTTTGGAAGGCAAGGAGGATGGGAAGGGTAAGGTGCTTGGAGGGTACGCGGAATCGTTGAAGCAGGCTGCGGATGAGGCGCAGGCGATCAAGTGCCCTGTGTACCTTGGTACTGGCGCGTTGAATCTTCTGTTGCAGACGGGGAGCGAGTTGAGTTTGGGTTCGTTGCTCAAGTGCTATATGCCATAGAGTGGGTAGGGTAATATGAGTGATGTGTGTATAATCCAGGTTTGGAATGAACAGATGCGTATACTCATGATACTGTTATATTATTCATAAGTACATTGTACAACGCATTTGTGTCTTATCCTTTGCGACAATGGTCAAACGTCTGTTATCGAGCCTTCAACTCCTGCTGTCAACCTTAATGCACCTGACACCTCTCTTCTTCGCCCTCGCGGTAGCTGACACGTCCATTTGCTGCATTCCACTAGTAGGAACTTGCGATCTCAGCAACTATCACCATGCGTCCTCTCGACCGCCGTTTCCGCATCTATCTTCTCTCGTCATCTGCGAGTATGGTTTCGCCGCCATCTTCCTCCTGTACGTCTCAGGCATGCGTGGCTCTGACGAGAGCCCTGTTCGGGTAACTAAGCGGGGTTTCGGACCCAGTGCTAGCGGCCTGACGCTGGTTCTGAGCGCGTGGCGCGATCGTGGTAGAGACGCGATATCTTTCCGAGTCTTCAAGATAACAGCTCCTAGTATCCTAGGGGTATTGCTCTTCCCTGCAGTATCATGTCCTCATATCCATCTCAAGATCCCTAGTCTCTCTGCTCAATTCTTGAACATCGTCTTGTGCCATAATCTGCGCGCTAGCATCCAGATCTTGTATGACATTCTCTAGGCCTCGTACTAGGGCTTCTATCTCGGCGCGTTGTGCGGTGACGGTCGAAAGTAGCTCGGTGTTTGACTGCTGAGTCTCGACGAGCTTAGTGTTCATATCGGTCGCTTGCTTCTCGAGGAACGGCATAAGGTGCGCTAGATGTATTTCGGCTGGAGTAAGTGTATGCGGTCTATGCCCTCGAGTCAGTATTCGAAAGTAACAAGAGCGGGCGCATTCGCAAACTCACGGCACAGGCGTTTCCACGGGCCCACCGTTAGCGCTCGCTTCGGCGCGCTTCTTCCTGAGTTTCGCATCCTCTATGCACTGGTCCAGCGAGTTGAGCAGCCTAACGACATTCCTCCTCTCCATGATGTCCTCGAAGTTGCTCTTCCATGTCCGGTCCAACTGATCCACAATTTGCCCTCTCAGGTTGTCCAGAACCTCTGGGCTATACTGTGCCGCCGTTGGGAAGCACGAAGCGAAGTTCTTGGCCGAACACTTGTCTAGAGTCGCTTTGGAGGCTTGGTTGAATACATTGATCAGACCCTGCGCGCGCGGGCCGGGTGCGTCTGCGATAGGTCGAGCGGGTGTGGGAGATGGAGAGCGCGATTCTGGATTCGTGGCGGTAGGCATGATGGTATAATCGCAGACTGCGACGGATTTCGATGTACTACGAAGCCAGTCAAGAGATGCTAAAGCGGGCGCATTGTCTCCATCGCTGTTTACTCGAGAAGCGCGCTAGTCCACGCACGTGATCGCGTGTCCCGCTAAGCCAGCCCCACTTATCCACAGGCACCTGGGCACAAACAACGATTTTGAACTTGTTCTGTGTTTGTTGACAAGAACCTGCCAACACTTGATCATTCACTAACCGAGCACAACTTAAGTGATTGAATACAGCGTTCTAGGACACTTGTGAAGTACAGTCAAATCACAGCCAGATCACGACCAGATCACAATCAGATCACAATCAGATCACAGCCAGATATCAGCTACTACCAAGCTCTCACACTCTGCTCAGAAGATGGCACAGCCCAATTCTGGCGTCGCTGCCCAACAGAGCGCTGACCATCGAGCAAACGACACTGGAGCCCGAAACCTTACTCTGGATTTGTACGACTTGACTAACCTCCGTGCATTGCCTCTACATTTCTCTCTTTCTTGCTTCTACGTCGCTTCTTCTACCTCAGTTCTTCTACTTCGCTTCTTCTATTTCGCTTCTTGGATCTTGACTAACCTTCCGACTAACCTTGTAGCAAAGGACTTCAGATCAAGGCCCCTGTCAGCCCCGAACAGCGCAAAAGCCTACTGGATCTACCACCCACTATCCTCTGTGGCATTATCCAGGCAACCGACTACCAGACCGCACTCCGCCTCTCCCACACCCACCGTCACTTCCGCGGACTGGTCGAGGTAGGATTCTCTCACGGCCCAAAGCTCCAGGACAAAATCGCATTCGTTGTACGGCGCGCCCATGCCAAGTGCACTCCATACACCCTCAACCCGTACACCAAAGGCCAGGGTTATCTTGGCTGCCGGCTATGCTTCCAAGTCTACCCCATTCTTCCCAACGACCCCGAATTCGACGACAAATTCCTGGGCGTGTGCAGAGACTGCGACCTGACATGCGGCGTACCCACAACAGGAGATGAACACGACGACCTACTCCGGGGAACGACATACCATCTCGGCTCAAACCGGCTTGTACGTTTCTGCCTGGTGTGCGGCCATCTCGTCTACCAAGACCCCCGCCCAAACCGTCCGATCATCTACTGTCCCTGTATCAAGGATGGCTTGGTGGGTGAGCATCTTGGTGCCGTCAAGGCCTACGAGGGTTGCGCAGGTGAGTTCTCAACATACCCTGGAGCCTACATGATGCTAACAGTGTGATGAAGTTCATCTCTTGACATACCTACCAACCTACATGAGGTTGTGGGATGAACAAAACCCACCTACATGGCCTGGGTTCGAGACTACAGACCAGCAACCCGCCTTCCGAGCAGAGGAGGTGGGAGAGCTTGCGGACGACATTGTCTTCGCGGACAAGTTTTCGGCCAAGATGATTGGCATCGAAGTCGGCAAGCTGGAGCGCCAAGCTTCAGAGAAGAAGCGCGCTCTGGCTGCCGACGAGATGAAAGCTTGTCTGGAGAAGATTCGTTCGAGGCAGGCTGAGCTGAAAGAGGCGAAGGCGAAAGCCAGGATTGAGAGGGGGGTTATGTTTACGGTTGAGGAGGCTTTGGTCTTGTACAAGAAGGGTGAGGAAGAGGGGTTCCCTCTTGATCTTCAGCTGAGGCGATCTCGCATGGGATGATCGCCCAACTTGGGGCTGAAGAGAAAGCGTTGAGATAGGGTGATGTGGATTCATGTACAATAGATAGGAAATGTTCACACGAAAGATAACGTCAATCACAACAATGCCAAAGGCATCCTTGATTTCCCTTTCAAAACTATAGAGGAAGAAGAACAAGCTTTGTTTACAAAGAGGGTGTCCACCATGAGACAATAATAATGAATGGTAACTATCCACGATAAACCAGCAGCTATCCACACGAACGAACAAGCGCCAAAGTGCAGACATCTACTCTTCAAGGTAAGAAAGCTTGCGCATCTCACCCAACCTAGTCCTAGCCTGCGCAAGCGAGTTCTCGAGCTGTAGAATCTCGACCTAGACGTACCCGTTAGCATATACTCTTCAGTGAACAACGTTCGATAAACACATACCTGCTGCTCCATCTGGCGGACCTTGAACTCGTGGTCGCCCAACTTGCTGTAGTCGACAACCTCGCCCTCGTCCCTGTTCTTCTGGGCGATGATCTCCTGCACTTGCCTGACAAGCGACCTGCAAGCCGCAGTGACAGTCTTGGATGCGCTCTCCAGCCTGTCTTGCGTCTTGCTCATGAAGCTAGCCTTGACACGACTGGCAGCCACCAACTGAGCGGTGGAGGCAGCAACGTCGTTGGAAGCGACAATGAGCTGCTCGGGCGAGTTGCGACCGGAGATGACGCCGTCGGCGGTCTCGATGAGCATGTTTGTCGATGTGGCGACGGCCTTGGCGGCACTGATGAGACCTTCGGTCCAGCGGTTGTGCTTCTTGTAGAACTGGGTCTTGGACATGCTTCCTCGTCCTTCGCGCACGATTTCCTTTTGGGATTCGGTGGCGGCCTTGATGAGCTGCGCAATGGCGTTTGTGACGGCGATGGCTGCTTCGAGGATGGAGTCGTGGATCTTGAGCTCGTAGGTAGAGTACTGGTCTCTCGGCTTCTTCATCAGCTTGGAAAGACGCTCGGTGGCCGCGTCGATGGCGTTGGCTGCCTTGGTCAACTCGTTGTCGACCAAGTCACCAAGATCGCCAGAGGCGTTGGTGATCTTGCTCTTGGGTGCGAAAGCGTCCGCGAGCTTGGACAAGCTCTGCAGGTTGCGCACGACTTCTGTGCTGTTGTTGATGACAACGTTGATCTTCTGCTCTGCGTCCATGTCGTACATGCGCACTGACTGGACGTTACGGAAGAACCTAATGGTCGAGGTTGCAGAGGCTCTCGCGCCGTTGATGAGCTGGTCAGCCTTGTTCTCATCAGAAGCGAATCGCGTCAGTCCCTTGGTGTTCACCAACACATCGACGATAGCGCCACCAAAGTTGCTGACGGCGTTGATAACCTCAGCGTGCTTGGCGTTCGGCCCGTCAGCAATGAAGTTGTTGAAAGCAGTCGAGAACTCCATGGTGCACGTTGATGCCTTCTCAATCTGCGAAAGCACGTACGCGCCAGTGGCATTCTGGTTTCCGGCTTGCATAGGAGAGTCGAGCTCATACAGCGCATCGTCAACACGCTGCACACCACTCTGGAGGACGGAGTCGATGAGGTCGTTGATCTTCTGGAGGCTGTCTTGGATAATTGTGTCCAAGTGGCCGTCCAGGACATCATCGTTGGTACCAGCGTTGAGCTTCAGCTCGTTCAGCTCGAGTAGCGTCTGGTCCATACCAGCACGGAAGATCTCCAGCTCCTCCTCCTTGTCGCGCAGTTGACGCTCCAGGTCAGAGTCCCCTTCACGGTACTTCATCTGGAACTCGTCTAGCGCGCGGGTCTTGTTCCGCAGCGCTTCCTCAAGATCCGCGATTTCTCGGTTGTGTCTTGACAGCATTGCCGAAAGTTCTGAGCCCTTGCCACGCTCGAGATTGTCGGCTCTGTCTAGGGCAGCACGGAGCTCCCTCTTCAGCTTCTCAGTCTCCTCACGGTGGCCACCAGTGTGACGGTCCTTCTCCATGAGCGCTCGGTCGCGCTCGCGAATCATGTCTGCCAGTTCCAAGTTCTTGGTCTTCAACTCGCGTTGCAGCTTGTCTCGCCCATCAATGGCTTCCTGGGCGGAGTTCGCCTTGAGCTGAACTGCCTTGAACTTCTGTAGCAGCTGAAGATGCTCATGACGCAATTGCGAATAGAGCTTGGCCAGCGATTCGTACTTTGATCTCCATGTGTTGAGCTGCTCCTGAAGTGCTCTTATCTGATCGTCTCGCGAGCCCATCTGTTGCTGGAAGTTCTGGTTCATCTGGTTGATCTCGCCCTCCAATGCCTTCATCCGCTGGTCGTATTGTTGCAGCATCAGCTGGTCGCGTTCGTACTGAGCGCGCGCGTTTAGATTCTCTCGCTCAAGCTCAGCAAGGCGACCCTGTGTCTGCTGTTGGTACTGTTCGCGCATGAGTTGTTCTTGCGCCAACCGAGCTTGCTCTGCCTGAAGCCGTTGTTGCTCCTCGAAGTCACGTTGTGCCTGCATCGCTTGCTGCTGCTGCTGTTGCTGAGCCTCCTCCCATTGCCTCTGTAGTCTCTGCTGTTCAGCCTCGTATTCCTCTTGTTGCCTCCGCTGATTATCTTTCCAGAACTCGTTGATTGGCTCTGGGTCGACTGATGGAGCGCGAGCGGGTTCGGGCTTCTCGTTGCGGGGTCGTTGAGGTAGCGCGGGCGCACTCTCATCTTCAGAGAGCAGGTTCGGTGGTTCCTGTGGCAGCTTTGGCACTGTAATGAGGTTGGTCAAGTATCGAAGATTCGAGCATTCGTAGTAGAATTTGACGAGACGGTAGTGCTGGGCATCGTATCTGCCGCGTAGAGGAGAGAGCGCTTCGTCGTCACCGAGTGCTAGGCTGGTTAGTTGGGTCGCAAATCAACCGAGAATCTAGTCCTTACTGGTGTGCATTGCGCGCAACATGCTGGTGATGAACTTGTAGATACCATAGGACTCCTGAACCAGTGGCACCAACGCCGCTATCCTACATTCGTTGTTCGCGCCGCTCCGGAAATGTGAGAAGATGAGCTTCTGGAAAGCATCGATCTGATCTTGTAGCGTCATAAGATCCGAGATGGTCTCGTAGCCCTCATTAGGGTCATTGATCGACTTCAAGCTGATGTACTCCTCGTACTCGAAGGTTCCTATTCCAATCAGCCAGTTATCCGCGTCTTGCTGCCGCTCATCGTACCATTGAACTCGGGATGTTGTCGGTGGAAAGCAAGCTTGGCCATAAGATAGTAGATGTACTCTGAAATGAGCGGCGCATATCCCCGCATGCCTTCTCCGACCGTGGAGCCCCGTGATAGGCTCTCAAGCCAGCTGGTGTTCGATTGCGCCTCCTTAAGAACGATGGGGTGGCCTTCTTGAAGGACCTTGTGGACGGTAATGAGCGCTTTGAAGGTTTGCACCTCGTCGGCGAGGATTGGCTGCCTGGAACATGCTATTAGCATTGGGCGGATTGGGCACCATGGTGCGCTCTTACACTTTCATGCCCTGCCAGAAAGACGCGGAACTCTTGTGATCCCATGTGTAGACGATGCATGCTCGCACGTGTTTCCCTGCGCTATTGTGAGTTTCATGCGCGTACCTGAGGAGTTCCGATACGTACGCTTGGGTGAGACCTCTTCGATGCTCGTGGCTTTGCGAATGTTGATGGCAAGCTCCGACTCCTGCCTGGATTGAGACATGTTAGGCCATGTCACATTTCTCCTGTTGAAATCTCTCGCCCAAAGGCTAATGGGTGCCGGCATAATGATGGTGATATACGTACTTGCCCATGTCCACGTTGCGCGAGCTTCCGTAGAGCGCCATCTTGGTCGCCGTGCGCTCCTTCTGAGCTTGCTGTTCGTAGTTGTAGGTAGTTGTAGGAGGGAAAGGCTAATGGTCGGTGTCGGAGAAGGCGCGCAAAAGCAATGCGCGGAAATGGGGAGGTGTGGGGTTGAGATATCTGGTTGCGCTGTTGGGTCAGTCAACCATCAGAGGAGCTCCTACTACTCGACCCCCGGGAGGTGGTTCGTGCAGCTTGGCGCTTCGTCATCGCCTTCACCCCCGACCAGGTCTAACCCTTGTATCTAATACTGAAGTCTAGATTTGCTCGCAGGCAAAACCTCTTTACTCGAGCTAGAATCTTCCGAGCCATGCAGCTAGAAGCGCCTTCTTGCTGCATCGGGTGCCGCGAACTCCTCCACTTGGGCTGTACATCCTGGCCTTAAACTGCTGCCTTCGCCATGGACTAACAACGCATACGCGGCTGCATGCGCAACCGACTCGGGTCTGAGTTGGCATCCGTGATGGAGGGCGACAAGATGCGTCTTCACTAACAAGGCTGCATGACTTCGCTGGATGCACCCTTGCTGTGTGAACTGTACCGATCACGCATGGCCAACGCAGCGATCATCAGGAACTACTATGTCATTTTACATGCTATCTTAGATGCGACTCCAGGGTATGATGAACGCCATGCAATGCTACGAATACAATAATGATGCCCTATGACGCCGTCAAGAAAGGCTCGACACCTCACACCGCTTCACTTTTCCCTCCCTTGCTGAGATAGGCAGCCATAGGGTCCGCGGCCATTGTCCTCTTGCGGCGATACTCTTCCATTTCTTCCTCGTTTACGCCTCCCGTCATCTCTTCGAGAGCTCGTTTCCGACTGGCAGCATCATTCTTTGCTTTTTCGGCGCGGTCGGGTGCATTGGGTACGTGTTCCTCTAGGACAGCCTCTTCCTTCCATGCTATCTCCTTGGGTACTTCGTCTAGGTCAGCACCGGTGCGCATCCGATCTGCCAGCTCAAAAGCCTCCTTGCCTGCCTCGCCCGTGCAGTACGAGTTCTTGACTGTCGAGTGACAGCATGCAAAACCCCATTGGAAGTTGGACCACCAGCTGCCCCAGACTGATGTGTGGTTGTTGAGGAGCACATCCTCTGGGTACTTTGATTTCGCCTTGATTTTTGGTGCGCCCTTTATGCCGCCTCGCTCGTCGTACTCGACATATCGCTCGTTCTCTGTGACGGCAGTCTTTCGAAGTGAGTCGTCGGTGAACTTTTCTTGTGTGCCGTACTTCTCCGCCAAGGCCTTCTTCCTGGCTGCTGCCATGTCCTCAGCCTCTTTGAGCTGCTTCTTCCGCATGACCTCGCCAGACGTGGGATTGGCCTGTAAATGTAGCTTGTTCTTGTCTCCGCGCTCCTGTGTCTCCCAAGCATATCGCTGCGCCTTCTCAAACTCAGCTGCATCTCCGGACGCCTTCATGAACCCTTCCTCTGCTACTAGTTGGGCGGCGTTATCGGCCGTCGCGCCGCTGTCGACCATGGAGCGCGTCTTGGGGTCATATTTCGCCGAGTCGAGATCCAGGTTGAGCAGATACTTTGCCGTGTCTTCTCGCAATCGCAGGTTCCGTGTGGATGTGGCCTGTTTCCTTCCCATGTCCGTCTCGGCATCGTACTTGTCGCCCTCATCCTCATCATCCGACTTGTCGCCCTTCTCAGCTTCTTTGGCCTTTTTCCGGATCTCCTCCATGGCGTTGTACTCCTCGATGACCTCCTCAAAATGTGATGCATCGTAGCCGTTCCATCGATCGCGTTTCGCATCGAAGCCTAGTTGTACGTCTTGAATGACCTCGTCCGCCTCGATGTTCTTGCCCGTAAACTTTGCGCCTGCCTTGCGCGGCCGGCTCAAGCAGTCCTTCTTCTTGTGTGTCATGGCACCGCAGTTCTCGCATGCGCCTTTGCGGAACTTGGTCGCAGCCGGGCCGATCTTCTTGCCGCGATCGTACCATTTTGAGTCTTGCTCCTGCTTCTGCAGACGCTGATGCTCGAGGTAATCGGTGTTGTCCTCGCCAGTCTCGTCGACGGCGTAGAAGGGCTTCTTCGAAATGAACGAGGGGATGTATTCGTTGCGCTCTTTTGCCGCGGCGGAGACGTCGGGCTTCTTGGGTTGGGAGGGCGGCATGTTGGGCGTGGGAGGATGCCTCGGTCGCGTTGAGTGGTGAAGGTTGTCAGTTGGTAGAAGCTTTAGAATGGCGGCCAAAGTGGACCGCCGACTAGTGGCGTAGGGCTGGCTGCAGCGTCGATCCCGCACGTCACGGGACCACGCGAGTCCGGTCGCGCTTGTTGTGCCTCGCGTCTCTTTCACTCCATTCCGCCACCGACACCCTTGTCGCGTGCGATGCGCGAGTTCAGTTTTGGATGATCTACTGAACACAATGCGAACCTCCACTGTCGCACACCCTTCCTGGATACCGGCTGTGTCGTCATGGATACTTTCCGCTTTCGCCTGAACTGCATCGACAACTACCAGGCGGCTCCGACAGACATCGACCCTCTTCTTCGGCGCAATGCCGGTCCTGCAGGCCGGTTGGGCGCACCGCAAGTACCCGTAATCCGGGCGTTTGGTGCGACCGAGACGGGGCAGAAGGTGTGCGCTCATATCCATGGAGCGCTGCCTTACCTATACCTGGAGTACAATGGCAGCTTGGAGAAGGATGTCGGTGCGTATGTCAGTCGTGCAGTTGGTATCAAGCTGACCCCTCCTAGTCAACGCGTATATTCTGGACCTCCGCGCCTCCATTGACCACGCCCTCGCCACCGCGTACCGCCGAAATGCATACGATGGAAAGTCGATCTACGTTGGCCACATATCTCTTGTCAAGGGTGTACCCTTCTTTGGATACAGTGTTGGATACAAGATTTTCTTGAAAGTCTACATGCTCAACCCTATGCATATGACTCGGTTTACCGACCTGCTGCATCAAGGAGCAATCTTGAACCGGGTGTTCCAGCCATATGAGAGTCACCTGCAGTACCTCCTGCAGTGGATGTGCGACTACAACCTGTATGGATGCGACTGGATTAACTGCGCAAAAGTCCAGTTCCGGGGACCCGTTCCAGACAGCGAAGAGGTAGATACCACTGTCCACAAGTGGCACGATGCTTCTATTCCCAACGAACTCATAGCCGATGAGGATCAATACCCACGCCAAAGTCACTGCACTCTTGAAGTCGATATATGCGCCCAGGACATCCTCAATCGGCACGAACTACAATATCGACCCATCCACCACGACTTCCTAGAGCGATCGAGCCAAATGCCACGCAATCCAGACGACAAATTCGTGCCGTCCATGGCTGGTCTCTGGAGAGACGAGACGCGCCGGCGCAAACGTCGTATGGGCCTCTCTGATCCCTCGAGCAGTCCTTTTCCTGCTGAGGTGCTTGTGTCCATGTCGGCTGATATGCGAAACACTAAGGCCGGTGGATGGATTCACGAAGAGGAATACCGAGGAATCATCGAAAAGCTAATCATCGAGGAAAGACAAGGAAAGGGCGAAGCCAAATTTGACGGTTTCGTGAAACCCATCCCTGGCCAGGAGCGTATCAGGACTGCTGTAGAGAGTATCGAAGATCTCTATCCCGAGGTCTTGTCTACACAGCAGCTTCCAGATGACGACATCCAGCAAGATGTCAACGCGTTAGAACAAGGTGGTGCGCCTGTTGACATTGACGCCCAGCTTGCGTCTGACGAGCCAGAACCCAGACAGCCTCACAGTGACGGTGCTATCGGGGACGGCGAAAACGACAATCCAGCGGACGCTGACAATCATTCTGACACCGAGGAACAGCAATCCATGGATCCCCTAACAGTATCGTTACTCAAGAGCTCTAGTGATATGGAAGCTGAAGATGCACTTATTGACGAAGGTATTGATTTAGTCGACCCCGATGATGATGGCCAAAATCCAGAGTCCAGCAGCCCGATGAGCCAAAGGAAGCGCTCTCTCGAACCCACAGAAGAAGACTACAACAAGCGTCAACGAACCCTGGCAACAACCCAGAGTACCAATAGGCGTGTCTCGTTTCGCAACGCCCTGAACAAGAACGACGATCCACCTCATCCCGGTCAATCGTCACAAGCGAGTATCAAAGCTCAAGGCTTAGGGGCGCCGACTACTTTCTCGTTCCCTGTAGTAAAGAACCCGAATGCACCGGAGACGCTTCATCGCTTGAGTCAATCTGGGTATTCAAATTCCCAAGAAGGGCCCAAGACACCTGGGCCTAAGCATCTCACGGCCAGACCTTCGCAACTCGTTCCTGTGACCCCATGGACGCATCAAAAGACCTCGCCAATGGTGCCGAACAGTAGTACCTCGCAAGCTCGCTCCAAGGTAGCCTCTCTAGTGCGACGGCTGGGTACATCGTTCCAGCACAAGCATCGTACTATTTACTACGGCGCGCTACCTCCACCGGCTGAGGTCGTCAAAGGCACCATGATGCATGCGGGACTTCCACCGGTAATCTATCAGGACGCATATTACAGTGATGAGAAGGATGTTCCAGATCGGCCAAGAGAGTATGCGGGTCGCGAGTTCAAACTACAAAGCACCACATTACCGTATCTTCCTCCTTTCGACCCCACTGGTAATTCTCTTGCCAACATTGGAGAGTATCCCGCAGTTGTGTTAGACAAGAAAAAACAAGCTACAATGGATCAAGAACGATCACATAACTGTGGTTTGCGTCACTGGGAACTCTCAAGACCTCCTCCTACTTTCAAAGAGGTGAAGCGCTGGACCAGCCGTCACGTCAAGCAACGAAAAGTGGCGAAGCCTAAAATCAAGGCACAAGACGAGACGGCAACTATGCCAGTGCGCAAATTCAACCCAATGAGCCACATTTCACAGATAGAAGGTCCAACGCAGAAGAATCCTCATGGCTTCAAGTACTCACAGAAGCAAAAGACAACTAGTGTTAAGCACGAAGCTCAGTATATGAGCATCATGAGCTTAGAAGTACACGTTAACTCAAGAGGCTCACTCGTACCAGACCCGGCTGAAGATGAGATCCAGTGCATTTTCTGGAGCGTACAAGGCGAAGAAAACGCGACCACTGATCGACCGCGTTCCGGTATACTGTGCTTCTCGGAAGAAGATGGCATCGCTATGCGCATTGCTAAGCAAGTTCCGGTCGAAGTTGAATACGAGGAAGACGAGCTAGATCTCATCAACCGCGTGGTCGATATCGTCCGCCAATTTGACCCGGACATACTCACGGGATACGAAGTACACAATAGCTCTTGGGGTTACCTCATCGAACGCGCGAGGATGAAGTACGAGTACAATCTTTGCGATGAGATCAGCAGGATGAAGTCGCAGTCTCATGGCAGATTTGGGAAAGAGGCCGACCGCTGGGGCTTCACGCATACCTCTACTATCCGTATCACTGGCCGACATATGATCAACATCTGGAGAGCTATGCGCGGAGAGCTGAACCTGTTACAATACACCATGGAAAACGTGGTCTTCCACTTATTGCACAAACGCATACCGCATTACCAACACTCCGATCTCACGACTTGGTATACAAATGGAAATCCAAGGGATCTGACAAAAGTGATTCATCATTTTCGCACACGCGTGCAACTCAATCTCGACATCTTGGAAGCAAACGAAATTGTGCCTCGTACTAGTGAGCAAGCTCGCCTGCTTGGAGTAGACTTCTTTGCAGTCATTTCACGAGGCTCTCAGTTCAAGGTCGAGTCTACCATGTTCCGCATCGCAAAGCCAGAGAATTTTATCCTTGTATCACCGAGTCGGAAGCAGGTCGGTCAGCAGAATGCGCTCGAGTGTCTACCGCTGGTCATGGAGCCGCAGAGTGCATTCTACTCAAGCCCCGTTCTCGTTTTGGACTTCCAATCGTTATATCCCAGTGTCATGATTGCCTACAACTATTGCTATTCAACATGTCTCGGACGTATCGTCAGTTGGCGAGGTCAGAACAAGATGGGTTTCATGGACTTCAAGCGCGAGCCGCAGTTGCTGGAATTGGTAAAAGACCACATCAACATTGCGCCGAACGGCATGATGTATGTCAAACCAGAAATGCGGAAGTCCCTGTTAGCGAAGATGCTTGGCGAAATTCTGGAGACTCGTGTGATGGTCAAGAGTGGGATGAAGCAGGACAAAGACGACAGAACCTTGCAGCAGCTACTGAATAATAGGCAGCTGGCGCTGAAGCTATTGGCTAACGTCACTTACGGCTACGCATCTGCGTCGTTTTCCGGTCGTATGCCATGCTCTGAGATAGCAGACAGTATCGTCCAGACTGGTCGCGAAACCCTGGAGAAGGCCATTGCAATGATACACGCTACGGAGAAGTGGGGTGCGGAGGTCGTCTACGGAGACACCGATTCACTGTTCATCCATTTGAAAGGACGCACCAAGGATCAAGCATTCACCATCGGCGAGGAGATAACCGCTGCTATCACCGCTGCGAACCCACGACCCATCAAGCTCAAGTTCGAGAAGGTATACCATCCTTGCGTTTTACTTGCCAAGAAACGTTACGTTGGCTTCAAGTATGAGCACCGCAACCAGAAAGAGCCCGACTTTGACGCGAAGGGTATCGAAACAGTCCGTCGCGACGGTACGCCTGCAGAGCAAAAGATTGAAGAGAAGGCTCTCAAGCTCCTTTTCCGCACATCAGACCTCAGCCAAGTCAAGCGGTACTTCCAGGAGCAATGCGCGAAGATCATGGAGGGCCGTGTCAGTATACAAGACTTCCTCTTCGCCAAGGAAGTCAAGCTAGGCACGTACTCTGACAGGGGCCCTCCGCCGCCCGGTGCCCTCATTGCTACCAAGCGTATGCTCGCCGACCCGCGTGCCGAGCCTCAGTATGGCGAACGCGTGCCATACGTAGTCATCACCGGTGCACCCGGAGCGCGTCTCATCGATCGCTGCGTCAGCCCGGAGATCTTGCTTCAAAACGACCATCTCGAGCTCGATGCCGAATACTACATCAGCAAGAACCTCATCCCACCACTCGAGCGCATCTTCAACCTCGTTGGCGCTAATGTAAGACAATGGTTCGATGAGATGCCGAAAGTCCAGCGCATCCGCAATATTACAATTCCCATGACCATCAAGCACGACAAAAGCAACGCGCTCTCCTCCGTTGGCAACGCATCCCTCAAGAAAACTCTTGAAAGCTACATGAAATCTTCAAGCTGCATGGTCTGCCGTTCGAAACTACCTCAAAATCCACCTACACATCTCCCAGGCAGCGAAAACAATCCCTACGCCGTCCTCCCACTTTGCGCAAAGTGTCTCAAGCGCCCAGCACATTCACTTCTCTCGCTCAAGTACCGCATCTGGGACAGCGAAACGCGCGTCGCAGAAGTCGAACAGGTATGCCGGCGCTGCTCGAATCTCGCCTGGGGCGAAGAGATCAAATGCGATAGTAGGGACTGTTCAGTCTTTTATACGCGCATCAAGGAACGTTCGAGGTTGACTGCGCTGAAAGACAGTGTTGGGCCTATTATTGAGCTCATGGAGAAGGTGGATGCCGAGGCGGGTTTGGAAAGGGAAGATAGTAGAGTTGGTAGTGAGGGTGGGGAGTTGACATGGTAAAGTAGCTCGTTGCCAGTTTGGATACCCTGGAATACAGTGCATTACTTCGAATCAAAAAACGTGTAACATGCTTTGATGTTTCCGCCCACTATCGTCAGGACATCCTCACCCGTTAACCCCATTTCTCCACTCCTGGCTGTTTTGATGCCCCATTTTACTTTCGTCACCCAAATATCCTCTCCGTCGTCATGTTTGAGACATGCGACATTGCCTGCAGATGACTTTAGCAATGACCTTTCTTCAAAATGTCTATGAAAGCTTCGACGGATTTACGTACCTAAAGCAACAAACTCATTGCCCTCTCCACTTATACCCCGTATATTCTCTACCATCTCACTGATTGCCTCATGCGACTTGAACACACCCAGTGCATTTACGAATAAGACATCGGAACTTGGTACCCAGAGATCGCGAATCGCTTGCATACGCGTCGTCTTGTCTTTCTGACCGAAGATGTCGGCCAGATTGAGGAGGGTCAAGTCTACGGCGCGGGATTGGGGTGTCGTCATCGGTGCGGGGAAGTTTAAATGAAGTGCGGATGTGAGGAATGTGTATGATAAGACGAAGCCAAGATATAGAAGCTGATGCGTTCATGCTGTACTGTAGTGGTGGGAAAGGGCCCGAGGTGACTCGGGAGTAAGCACAAGCTATTCGCGCTAACAGTATTAGGAAAGAGATACAGCGTGCTTGTGCAGCAACATGTCTGCTACAGCTCGAAAGTCCAATCAGAATGGTGAGGAGGCATTTCTTCTAGTTAAACAAAATAAGAGGATTTATCAAAGAAATTATGACACATAACAACCGTTCCCCAAATCCACCATCTCGCCTACTTCCTCTACCTCCTCCACTTCCTCCACTTCCACCGCCTCCACCATCCTCTTCCCTGCCTTCATCAGCACTCTATCCAAAGCCTCCCCTAAAACAGCCCAATCCCACTTCTGCGCAACGACCCACTTCCTCAACTCCCTCAATTCCTCGTAAAACACGCCAGTCAGACCAGCTACATTGTGATCAGAAAGCAAATACGAAAACAAACAAGCCTCGTGGAAAACAACTGAGTCCTGCAATGTGAGAACTGGTATTGAAACTACCGGAATGCCTCTCTTTGACGATGCAGAAGAATGTATGTGTCTGGTTTGGTGGAGGTGGCAGATTGCGCAGCATTGTTTGGTTGGATCAGGGGTGGTGATGGGTGATAGATCGTTGTAGAGTTTGTCGTTCGTTGGAGATGGTAAGAAATTTGACGAGGTGGTAGTGTAGTTCAGGGGGAAGGGTGTTGCGGTGCCGAAGAATTTGGAGGAGTTGAATTCGTTGCAGGAGTGGCCGAAGCAGATTAGGTCTAGCGGGGACGCAGTCGGCTTGTGAGTAGGTGCCGGCATCTTGGACTTCGTTAGTCGGGCCATCGGTGAAGAGTGGGGCGAAGACGACTTCGATTGTGGTGATGAGAGGCCGGGAAAGGTCTCTGGTGGAAACGGTGTGTTTGGATTGTCGCAATCATTGTTCGTGAATAGTCTTTCAGACGGCGTCCATTGTTATAGTAGACTGTAGACTGCCTCAAGAACATTGTGCAAGCAAATACAACCCAGGAGACTCGTCTACCTCACCCGAAGAAGAAGGAACCAAACAGGTTTGCAGCATACATCAAGTTAAAAACGTGCAAAGTAGATGAAACAACATCAACGTAGCCTCCAGGGTGTTCAGCTTTTCCTTGTTTAGATATCTTATCTAGAAGAAACTAAACAGTTTTGCAGCCTACATCAAGTTGAAAACATGCAAAGTAGCTGATGTAACGTCAACGTAGGCTCCCGGGTGTTCAGCTTTTCATTATTTTGGCTACCTCCTCCAGAAGTAACTTGCGATTCAGCCGAGCCCTGCGGCGATGTCGGGCTGCTTCTCGCAGCATCTCAGGAGTAGCCTCTACTGCTGGATTGGTCGCCGGTTCATCCCGAGCGTCTTCGACTGACTCTTCGACTGGGTCGTCAACAGGGCGGGGGTTCTGCGGCTGCAAAGTTTCGTCCAGACTCGTCTCAGATAAGCCTGACATTGTTTCCGTTGATAGTTCTGGTGGAGATCCTGATGGCGTAGTAGGGTCTGTTGGTGGCGTAGCTAATGGAACTGTTAACTTCGGCTTTAATGACGTGTGTGCATTGCTAGAAGATGAAATCGAAATACACAATAGAGGTACATTACCTTCGCTGCTCGAGTTTGTATTTGGCGATGTAGGTAGTGCTGGTGGTGGCGGCTTAAGCTTCAGGTAATCTATGCTTGCATGTGGTGATGATGTGGAACGTCTGGAAGATGTCTCTTGAGATTTGAGTTTGAAGACTTGCGAGAGAGAAATGGAGGCAATGGAGTTTTTAAGTAGACATTTAGAGTTGGTGAACTATAGTCGAAGCAGTGGGGATTTAGTACTCGCTCCTCCCAGAACTATGGTCGAGGCAGTGGGGACTTGCTACTTCGCTCCTCCTAGTACTAAAGCGATGAGTGTAACCATGGTGAACTAGAAATGGTGTCGCGTTTTGCTGCATACACAATATTAAAAGTTTACAGGTGAGTACCGCCTAAGGCGATGTATACTCCTGGCTTAAAAAAGTATTTTCGTATATTGCAACACGGATCGTAGCCACACTAGCGTGGTACGCCAATCTTCAACCACTCACAGCCTCGCCGTCCTATTCGTCCACCTCTACAACAAAGACATCCAGATCGACATCTTTGATATACGGTGGAGGCGGGCTCGAATCAATCGCGCAATATTCTGGCACTGGCTCTTCTTGAGCAGGGACGACCAGCCACCTATCGACTTCAACACGAAGCGGTTGATCATCGACCAGTGCCATTTCGTAATCGATCCTTCTGCTCCTCGACCAACGCGATATCTCGAATGCAAGGCAGAAGATGAAGATGTGGAGGAAGACGAGGATGAGGACGAGAAATGTGTCCGTTATGCTGAATGGCATTTCGGAAGTGTCTTTGTGGTCAGAGTAAGGCTGCATTGTGGCGGAGGTGTCGAAGGAAGGGGTTCGAGATTCCTGGAGTGAGTGGGCGTGCAGCTTCCGGTTGGTGGCTCTGGTACCCCGGTGGTGGGAAGTATGAGCTAGCGAATCTATAGCTGTGTCGCGGCATTGTGAGAGTCGAGACTATCGCATTGTCAATGCGCACGACATGCAATCTGCGATGACTGTGCACTGTGAGTATGGACGGGAAATGTGCGCGGATGTGTTCGCGATATGGCTGCTGTTATCTCATCCAATGAATTGATCGTACACGTCATCGAAACAAAATCTACTTACACCTTTCAAGCAGTGGTCACCATCCCCACAACGTTTTGATTGTGTCGCCAATTGTTGCTTGGCCAGCTTCCTTCCTCTTCATACGAGCTACCCGCTCTTCGATAAATGTCTGTTCCAGCTGCTTTGCCACACCAGTTTGCGCCCTAATCTCACCAACTATAGCCATCCTCTCGATCTCGCGCTCTTCGGGTGACAGGCTCTCTAGCTTCTTTTGGTACTCTTCCCGTACTTCCGGCTTGATCTGCTTCCACACATCGGTATCGTCCATGCTGCTACTCGATTTGCCAATCTCAGCTATCGGCACAGCTGATTTCCCTGACGATGATACGCCGCTCATGGCTTCCGCGACATTCCGTTTCGACAATATGCTTTCGAATTTGGGCACTGGCCGTCCCTCTACCTTGGCCTTCTCCATTTCCTCCTCCTGTTGTATCATGCGCTGGTAGAGTTTATCTGCGTGCATTTGTATCCGCTCGTCTTCTTCTGGTGACCTCTCGTCCATGGTCATGTAGCCCAACGCCTTCAAGAACTTTGACTGTATGTCGTAGCAGCGGTTGAACTTGCGCGACTCGCCGATGCACATGGTTCCTGCCGACCACCATGATTTGGGATTTTGGAAACACTCAAATTGGTTCATGTATTCTAGCGCACAGTTCTCCATGGCGACTCGTCCGATTGAGGCTTTGCGATCATTGTAGGCGTCTACGAGGTCTCGTAACTTGTCTTGTTCCGACTTTCCGCGGTTGTTGACGACGTCCTGTGGGGTGTAGGTCTTCCAAAGGTCGGCGTATCGGCCATCTTGGAATTGCGATTGCGGTGGCACATATGGCTTCTCGGGATCGGTCTGTGTTTGCGCTTGCGCTTGTGTGGGTGTTGGCGATTCGGCGGGCTTTTCTTTGGGAGCGGAGGGTAATGAAGGTTTCGGGCCAGTGGGCGCCTCTTTTTTGAGGAAGTCGCGGAGAGATGGATCGAGTTGGTCTTGCCCGCCTGAGCTATTCCCGCTTCCCCAGAGCCAGCCCATAGTTGCGTCGGCGTATAGATTCGTATTCGCGAGGTGAGCAGGTGAAAGTTCCCAAGTTGCGGGGACAGTGAACATGGGTCGGGGGTCCGAGCACCCGAGCATGTCTTAGCGCGTTGGCCTCAGATGCGCCCGGGCATAACAACGACTCGATTACGCGACGGCGACGACATCAACTCGAGGAATTGTTACGACACACATTGTTATGGCGCCAGTCGGTATGTTCGTTCTGTTCAAGGATTCATAATCCGAATTTCATACTCACACGTCTCTAGATCGCCGCGAACATCGACAACAGCGCGTGCGCGGTGCTGGGTAAGACACTCGAGAACTCCTGAGACATGCAAACGCTGACTACGACAGGCCTTCATCTGTGCAAGCGTCTTTTGGCTTCAACTTCGGCGCTCTCAGTTCGCAACCGACCAAACAACCCTCTCTTCCACCCCAGCAATCACCGCGACGAACACCAGCCCAGAAGACACCCAGGAGCGCAAATGGCTCGGCACAACGGCAGAGAAGCGCGTCGATTCAGCGTAGCAGTACATCAAAGCGGAAAGCTACCCCAAAAGAAAACACGGTGACCCCTCAGTTGGGCAAGAGGAAGCGGGGCTCACCAAATGCGCAGCCAGGCCCAGACGACGCGGCAGAGGATGAGCTAAGCCCTGACCGTGAGGACGCCGTGCGCTCCA